AGAGAAGGAGAGAAGAAAGGAGGGAATGCAGGAGAGAAGGAAGGGGGGAAGGAGGGAGGGAAGGAAGGAGGGAAGGAAGGAGAGAAGGAGAGAAGAAAGGAGGGAAGGAAGGAGGGAAGGAAGGAAGAAGAAGTAGGATTGTTATAAGATAAGATGGGTTTATGGGATGGTACCCTTAACAATTTATTATCAGTCCTCACTAATATCATCAATTGTCTATAGATATTCCATACTTTCACACCCTTCACATAACATGATTTTATTTGCAGGGCAGTTATGACCACCACTCCAATTCCACCCGTTGTCCTTTTAATTCTAATCTGGTTTTCAATTCACCTTCTTATTTAATATATTCTTATATATAACAATTTTTCCATATTTATAAGGTTTGGGTGTATTAGTGCTTCTAGAGCAGAGCGCCAGACTAGTATTTTCATATAATTTTGTTGTTTCATTTTATTCCACACTACTAATAATGCATTTGTTATGCAATGCCTTTGAAAGTATTGATGTGATGTGCTTCTCCCATACCAAAGAAATGCATGCCACCCTATTTGAATATCATGACCCTCCAGTAGTAATAATCTCCTATTCCTTAGAGCTATCTACTCTCTTACCCATGTAAATACAGCAGCTGGATGGTATCATTCCCAGACATGCAGATCAAACCCTCCTTCCTCTTTTGATTCTTGCAATAATTTCAGTTTAATTTTCAGTTTCTTTCCTTGCCATATAAACTTCTACACTGTTTTGTTCAGGTCTTCAAAATACTCTTACTCTAATTTTATGGGTATGTTTTGAAATAAAAGGAGTATCTTCTGCAGGATGCTCATTTTTATTGCAGCTATTCTGCCCATTAAGAAAAGTTGCAGATTCTTCCATATCTCCATGTCTGATTTAATTTGATTTGTTAGCTTTGTGTAGTTGTTTCCTTTAATTGAAATATTGGAGTAGAATCTTAATGTAGAAGATTCTTAAAGAGAATATAAAGATAAAACCAGAAAGTTTTCTTTTAGTGGATAAAGAACTTGAAAGAAAATGAAACTTTGATGTTATATGTGTTGATGGCATCAAGAATGCTATTTGCACAAAAATAGAAGAATATTTTCACTCCCACTATGAATGAATGGCTGCAAAACCTGATGGAGTTAGCAGAGATGGCTAAATTGACTGCTTTGAATAAAGAAAAGAACAGGATTAATTTGAAAACCGCTTTTGGATTTTGTTCATGAGATAGAAAAAAAAATGAAAGTTTGATTTTGGATTTTGTTGATTGGGTAAGTTTGTTGTTATAGAAGGGGCTAGTTTCAGAAGACAATGCTTTTCTTTTTCCTTTCCCCTTTCACATTCACTTTCCTTTCTTCCGCTTTTCCTCCATTTTCCATTATTTTTATTTCTTCATTCAGTGCTGTATTTTACATTTTGATGAATTAATAAAATAATTGTGTAAAAACAAAGGGTTATTATGAAATATATTTAGAAGTGCTAGGGATGGATTATTCAATTGTAGACAGAGGCATACAGAG